GCAGCATCAGAGGAGCAGGAAAGCTGATGTTTCGGGTCTGGACCCTTCTGGGCCTTTCTAAAGAAGTATCCAGACCCGAAACGTCAGCTTTCCTGCTCCTCTGATGCTGCTTGGCCTGCTGTGTTCATTTAGCTCTACACCTTGTTATCTCAGATTCTCCAGCATCGGCAGTTCCTACTATCTGTAAGGAAGGAATGGGACTTGGTTCACAATTTGAAGGTGCTAAACTCAATATTGAACCCAGAGGCTGTAAAGTGCCTAGACTGAAGATGAGATGTTGTTCCTCCAGTTTGCACTGTAATTCACTGGAACATTGCTGCATGCAGAGGACAGACAAGTTGGTGTTCGAGCAGAATGCTGCGTTAAATTGACCTGTTACGGGAGGTCGGGGTCATGTTTGCACATGGACCGGAGGTGTTCTGCGAAGTGGTCACCCAGTCTGCATTTGGTTTCTCCAATGTACAGTAAGCCACATTGGGTGCAGCAAATGCAGTAGGCCAGATTGGAGAAGGTACAGGTGAAATGCTGCTTCACCTGGAAAGATTGTTTCGGCCTTGGATGGTGAACAGGGAGGTGGGAAGGGGCAGGTTTTGCGGGAAAGGGGGTTGGTGTTGGTGGTCGATGAATGGACTAGGGTATCCTGGAGGGAACGATCCCCATGAAAAGCAGACAAGGGGAGTGAGGGGAAGATGTGTTTGGTGGTGACTTTCTGCTGGAAGAGTTGTTTGAAATGGCAAAAAAAAATGATCCTTTGAATGCAGAGGTTGGTGGGATGAAAGAAAAAGTGAGAACAACAAGTGAGAACAAATCACACTGTTGAGAGTGATGGGAAGAGGCAAGGACGGAAACATGGGTAATAGGTCAGATGTTGAATGTTACCTGGGACCTCACAGAGAGAGGACCAGTTTAAGTAAAGGAACCAAAATCTGAACTGGTTTTTGAACTGCGTTTAATGTCAGGAGGACTAGAACATAGAACATAAAACAGTACAGCACAGTACAGGCCCTTCAGCCCAAAATGTTGTGCCGACCTGTTATCCTACTGAGATCAAACTGCCCTGCATACCCCACATTATACTATCATCTATGTGCCTATCCAAGAGTTGCTTAAATGCCTCTAATGCCTCAACCTTTCCTTATAAGACCTGTCCTCCAGTCCAGGCAGCATCCTGGTAAATCTCCTCTGCAACCTCTCTAAAGCTTCCACATCCTTCCTATAATGAGGCAACCAGAACTGAACATAATATTCCAAGTGTAGTCTAACCAGGGTTTTATAGAGCTGCAGCATAACCTCGCAGCTCTTAAACTCAAATTTCCCTGCCAATGAAAGCCAAATGACTGTGCCTGCAAAAACTATAGGACTAAGGTTTGATTGCACGGGTTATCTTCCCATTATCAATTTATTGAAAGTTCAAAGAATAGAATCACAGTTATCAATATTAAGTGAATATACCTCAGAACCTACTGGAAGCTATTGCATGCATCCATGTCTTCAAGAAACCAAGCAAGATATAATCCCATGTGCCTGTGATATTAAGGATCATGAAGTCTGCTTAAGTCAACTGGTCAGTTATATCTCAATTTTCTTTTTCCTTTTTATTTATCCCTTAACTGTATCTGTTTGGCTGGCTGTCCTTGTGAGAGGGGGTAGAATTAAATAAGAACTTTGCTCTGCTAAAGCTACTTTATTAATAATAAATTGGCAAATCTTTTGTTTATAAATCTGAGGTCTGGTTTTGATTATTCAAAAGTCAAGTACTGGCTGTTCAAATAGTCTCATTAGGAATCATCGAGGTTAATTTGGAGAGTCATTGAGTGTTTAATTTTATTGTGTTGTGAATACAGGACAAAGGAAAGCTGATTTGATTTGGCTGACTGTTCCCATGTCATAATAGATTTCATTGTAAACCTTTAAAATGCACATTTACTGTTTTGCTGTGGCTCAGTTTGCATCAGGGTAGCTAAGGTTACAGATTCAAATCACAATCCATAAACCTGATCACAAAAATCTAGGTTGATATGGTGGTGTAGCCTAGATTTCATGGAGCCTCAAGGAACATCCTGGGAGGAGGGGGTATGAAAAATTAAGTAGGAAGATGGGTATGTGTTGTTTATCTGTGTCCTCGCAACACCCCCCATCCCTATAACCACTGCCACAGTATCACCAAGAAAAGCCCTGGATGGACCTCCCACCTTAAGACCTATAAGTTATGCAATCCAGCGTCACTCATGGGCCTCAAATTCCAACCGTGACTGGCATCTCACCACCTTCTCAAGGGCAACTAGGGACTAGCAATGAATGCTGGCCCAGCTAGCGATGCCCATGTCCCACAAGTGAATTTTTAAATAAATCTTGCCAGAACCTCCTCGGTGCGAGTAAAGCCCTCCAAATTGGAATTCCGGTGCCATCCCGATGGAAATACCCTTATCCCTGGAAACCAAACCCTGCTGGTCTCTGAGATAGTAGGAACTGCAGATGCTGGTCTCTGATTGACTGGCAGCTCACCGTGGGCAGGACATTGATTCCTGGGGACCCAGCATACAGGAGCACTCAACAGTGGCTACTTAAGTATCTGCTTGCTTCCCTCACACTCTTCACCCTTCCCCACCAAAAGAACAGAATTATTCTATAAATACGTGAGACTCCCCATTGGCCTGACAGAATCTCAGTTGTAGTTGGTTGGCTCGCCAATCTGGTTCGTTAGTTTGCAGATGTTTCATGGGTAACATCATCAGTGCAGCCTCCAATAAAGCGCTGTTGTGTTTTCCCGCCCGTTATTTAAACTCTGGGGTCTGTTGGAATTGGTTACCTCATTTCCAATTTTTCTTCGCAGTGGTGTATATATAGGGTCTAACTCTATGCGTTTATTGGTGGCCTTCTTGGTGGAGAGCCAAGCCTCTAGGAATTCCCGTGCTTGTCTCTGTTTGGCCTGTCCAAGGACTCCGATGTTGTCCCAATTGAACTGGCGGTTCTCTTTATCCATGTGAATGGAGACGAGTGAGTATTGGTCGTGTCTTTTTGCTGCTAGTCGGTGTTCATGTATTCTCGTGGCCAGTTTCCTTTCTGTCCGTCCAATGTAATGTTTGTCGCAGTCTTTGCATGGGATCTTATATATCATGTTGGTTCTGTCCATAGTGGGTAAGGGGTCTTTGGTTCGAGTTAGCAGTTGGCATAGAACACTATCAACAAAAAGGCATGACAAATGCTCACTCATCTCCATTCACACGAATAAAGGAGAACCACCAGTTCAATTGGGACAACATCAGGGTCCTAGGACAGGCCAAACAGAGACAAGCACAGGAACTTCTAGAGATTTGGTTCTCCACCAAGGCCATCAACAAACATATAGAACTAGACCCTATATATACACCACTGCGAAGAAAAACTGGAAATGAGGTACCCAATTCCAAATGGATCCCAGAGTTTAAATACCAGGTGGGAAAACACAACAGCACTTCATCGGAGGCTGCACTGATGATGTTACCCAGCAGGGTAAATGAAACGTCTGCGGAACAATGAAATAGCTCAGCGAGCCAACCAACCACAACACCCACAACCCGAGCTATAAATCTACTCAAGAGCCTTAGAATCCCAGTTAACGTCAGTGCTCAGACTTTTCTCCAGGTCATGGGGGCCAAGTATCTCAGAGTGATTACTGGGTAGCAGTACTCTAACAGGCACGGAGTCTCACACACAAAACTTGTCTGATGTGACAGTCTGCTAGGATTGCTAGGTATATTGGAAGGAGCCGATTGGATTGAGCGGGGAGAGAGATGTTCATCGTAGAGTTCAAAATCGTTCTCTTTCTCTCAGGATGACAGCAGTCATGCCTGCACCGCTGCCACACATCCACAGCCTTTGCTGTTGCCTCTCAGCAA